CAGCTCCATTACAATAACCACCAAAAGAACGTTCCCGATGCAAATAGACGGGGAGCCGTGGATGCAGCCGCCCTGCAAGGTCACACACACATTACACATCACACATACATACATCTTTAACAAATAAAGCACTAATTACCACATTCACAAACACTAACTGGTATTTTAGTGTTGATTTAGTTTCCTACCTTTCCCCGCAACTCCGTTCGTGCAAAATAAAAATTGAGTGGCCTATGTGTTCTACATCTATGCCAAGTTTCATCTAGATCTGCTCAGTCGTTCAGGCTACAAACTAACAAACATCCATCTAAACTCTCTCGTTTATATTATATAGTAAAACATAGAAGGGGCCAATGAGTACCGGATCGCCTAATTTTAGGTTGATCCAACAAATTGATTTGTGAAATCTACACTAAGGGAACTTAGTGGACAGTTAACATCTCCGAGAGCGGCCTCAAAACCCATTAGGACATCAAAATATAAATTTACCTTACAGATTACAATAACCCACAAGAACCAAGTGCCGATGCTGATGGGCCCCGCGCCGGAGAAAGGCCGCGGCTTCTTCAAGTTATTTGCGCATTGCTAGCCTCAGCCCATTCCATTGTATTTAGTTATAACCATAATTAGTATAGATCTTTAACTTTTTTTTGTATGAAAATGACAGATGTGACATAACCTCAAAATTACAGACTCATTAAATTCAACGTAATAATATTTGTATGTTAGTTATAAAATTATTGAAGACAATTATAGGAAATTCCAACATGAAATTGCATAAATTTAGTAAAAACCTTCAAAACATTTTTTTAGTATTTGAAGGTTACCTTTTTTGACTTTAAAATTATAAAATTTTTGGACTCAAATTGAAAATTGACGATGACGAATTAAAAATGATTACATTATTGAATTATAAAAAATGTTTTGTAGATATCTTAACCGTAATAATTAATAGCATTGGTTGATTTATTTTGTTATAATAAAATAAATGGTTAGATTTATTAATTTAAATAATTAGCTCAGAAAAAACATTGTATAAAGAATATTATGATAAATTATTTTAATTCGCGTACTCTTAGCAAATTTATTTATTTTTACCTATATTAGAAAATGTACTAATTTTAAATCTTAATTACGGACTATTTGGTCTTATTTTAATGTATATTTTGTTCCTGCCATAGGTTTAACAATTTTGAATATCTTTATGTCTATTTGTGGAATAATGTAGTTAGTAAATGTATTTTTTAAACTGCTTGACGTCCTCAGTAGAATTGCTAACACGAAAATTTGCGAATAAGTATTCGTAACATTCGACAAAATATGAATTAGATTAGTTCATTCAATGCAATTTATCGGGCGGAAAGTACACCAACAAATCTTATACAATTTTTCTATGATATTACGAATACTTTCGTCGTAATTTATCGTGTTAGCGTTTGCATTGTAAAATCCTATCGTACCAAGAGAAGAACGTCCATTTTGCTATTGTATAAAGTAGAAGTAAGAAAATTATTTGTATTATAGAAAATCCTAAGCTTTTGCAACGATTATACAAAAAAAAAGCTGTTTAGACGAATTAGTTATAAATAAAATAATTGTAAATTAAATGTCTGCAATGAATGGATTTGATTATCTGTATATTCCATTATCTATGGATTTTCTGCTTTATGGGTGATTCCCGCGTTTTTCGTATTTTTATCTATTTCTATTTTTAAAAGTTCCTTAATACTGCACGTATACGTTTCAGTTTTCATAGGAAATTTTAATAAAATTTAAGTAATCTCTTAATGTTTCTAACATTAGCTTTTATCGTATTTGTCATTAAAAATTAAATTATGTTTTGATATTTCAATGTAGATTAAAATTTCGAACTTAGTTAAGTTGTTAGAATTCTAAAATATTGTTAATTAGGTTCAATCTAAAACAATTTACAATACATAATCTATGACTAAGTATTTAATGATTTTTGACTCTTTATATTTTACAGATTTACTTATTTTTATCTAATACAGTTCATGTGCCATTGCTTCATTTATATTTCTGTTAATTTCTATCTAATTAATTGTAATAATTGAAACTTTTAAATCATTATTATAAAAACTTAAACTCTAACTACTTCTCTACTATTCTGTTATTCTAATTATTTAAAAGTTTTAGCAAGAACTTATCGTATCGAAAAATGAATGTAATTTAAAATTTTTATTAGATATACATATTTTTATTGGCTTATCTTTAAAAGCTTTTCGTAATTATATAAATGTAATATTAAATGTACGTGTATTTTAGTATATGTCTAAATGTCTGAATGGATTGTCTGTGTTCAATGTATTGTTATTATTTTAATTATAATGTAGCTGTTACTGTCGAAGCGGTCGCACAACTTTGATTAAACTATCGCACAGTTGTGCGATTGTCGATTGTTTTCAACCTTAACATTTTAGTTGCACAACTAAAAATCGAGTAGTATGTGCATCTTCATAAAGCTCATAAGAATCAATGCGCGACTAAACAGTTCTGCGATTGTTTAGTCAGATGTGTGCGGTCGCTAATATTGTTATTATTTACTTTCGAATAGGGATAGAGTCGTTGCGGTGAAACCAATTTAAAAATCTGTGCCAGCTTTAATAGTGTTTTAAGAGATTATTGTTATATTATTAAATATTATTGTATCGAATATATGTGCATTTAAAATACTCGCAGTTTTATTAAACCCGATGGCCGGTACCCTGCTACTTTTAACAATCTATTAGTGTACGTAGTACGTAACTAGATTTCACTAAGGTTATTGTAAAACTAATGAAAAAAATAAATAGAAACTTTTAAAAAAACAGCATATGAATAAGGAAACATTTTGACACCAAAAATAATGCAAACTTACAGATGCAAGGTATAGATCGTTGAATAAATAAAAAAAATCAAAAAAATTGGGAATGGAAAAATTCCCTTTTACTTCACTCAGCACAAAGACAAGGTTATGTGATTAAAAACACATTAAAAAAGTAAAATCTTTATTTGTTTAGAAATAAAATTGTTCTACGTTTTAAAATAACTAGCTCCTAGTCTATACATCAGCATTAGAATACAATAAACATTGTAACGCCTCTGTCATCAAAGTTTACAAAGCTTGAATTCTTCATACTCTTTGTATTGCTTCCGACAGGGCCTTTAATAGAATTTGAATATGCGTTTTTTATTTGCATTTATTATTTTTATCGATCGATAATATTGTTTGCTTGTAGACTCAAATAAAACTCGTATAACATAAAAGAAACCTTATCATTTGTTATGACTTAAGATATACTTAAAAATAACTTAAACAAAAGACTGCAAAGACAGATAAATTTATGTATTCTTCGGGATTTTGCTCTTGTTTAGTCAATCTTGAATTCTATTTACTACTAACTTTCGTCCGAAACTCTGGCCTCATGAAATTAAAAAACAAAAGATAGCCTATGTGTTCTTCCAGACTATCCTTTACATCTATACTAAATTTCTTTTCGTTTAGCATTTTAGGACTTCAAACTCTAACAAATATCTACGCATAAGATAAATTACTCTTTAAAGTACGTGTATAAAATCTTGAAACCTTATTAATCATATTTAAATGCGAAATTTAGATGGATGTTAGAATTTATAGCCTAAATTGCTGAACGAAACTTGACGAAATTTGACATAGATAAATAGTCTGGAAAAACACATTGGCTATTTACTTTTTTTTTTAATTCCACGTGAATATAGTCGCGGATGAAAGCTATCAGATTATAAATCAATTTTAAATGTTTTAATTATATCTAGCTATCGTCAGTTCGCTAGTTATGTTGTAAGGCGTTGCCGGTGCGAGTAATGAACGTAATTGATGAAACTTTGTGGAAACCCAGCCCACAATATCCGTAACCACTAATTGATAATTACCGATGTGTTAACGAGTCACTTTCTCATATGTGTAACATTGTTAATTATTATTTATACTAAAATAATACTTATAATTACATACGTTATCTTGGATCTAAACGTACTTAAAAGTATCATCCTGTTGCATTAGTAAATCTACTGCCTAACTAAGCTGATAAAGTACTACTTATAAATCTCTAACTAAACAGTTTTATGTGATCTAATACTCAATGGAGTCCATTCTTTTAGATGTGCTGCTTGTTAACAAAGACTGTGTTGCGTTTTGTTATTTGTCAGTGAAAACACTAAGATTTATCTAATTTTATAATTCCCATACCCATTCCAATATTTTGTATATTGAGTTATTTGTTAACATGAAATGAAACGCAATGCTAACTCAGAAATAATACTTCTTCGATCAACGCGACCCAAACACACTGAATCAAAAGTGCAACGCATATTTCTCACCTCCTCCTGGATGTGGTGTAAACCATATACAAAGATTTATTTGCAAATACATTATAATAAATCTATTTAAGGCACAGGATGCTACAAGAACGTCAAATATGCTAATAATCTGTCCTTCCTCCTTTCTATAAACACCGCTAAGGACAGGAATTTCCTCTTGACTTCTGCCATCCAAAACAGATGTATTTCTTCTTACTTCGATCCATTTATTACTAAGTAAAATTCCATTAAAAATGCAATGTAAACCATAACAGCTAACAAACGCCATTATTAGTACAATTTTTAGTTAAAAAAAAAATTACAGAGCATAAATATTACAACAATGTATACTTATATTATAAAGAGGAAAGATTTTTATTTTTGTATGTATTAAAATAACTCAAAAACTACTGGGCCGATTTCAAAAATTCTTTCACCTTTAGAAAGCTACGTTATCAGTGACTAATATAGACCACGCTTTTTATTATTTATTAATTTTACGACGGCGAAGACGCGAGAAATAGCTAGTAATATATCAAACTATCGTCGCATATTGCACAATGTTCCAGAAATTATTGAGCAGATGAATACAAAGAAACGAGTCTGTCAGAGCCATCAGAATAAATATCACTCCAAAATTATAATGACCTCCTAAAGTGACAGATATACAATGAAATAATTGCAAATATCCATTTTAATAAATCGATCAAATTAAGCGTCCATTTTTGGGTTAGGCGACAAAAAAGTTGTCCGCAAAACGAACATGGCAACCTTGGACATCCTTGACATTACGAGACGCAATGCAGCCGACATTCTGTGCCGACAACTATGTAGAATATCGACCGGTACAATCATCACGGGATGGCGTACACACGAAGGTAACAAGCACATAAACAATTATTTCAAAGAAAGCAAAAAAATAATACAACGTATTTAAAAATAAAACTCAAACGAAAGTAAGTTAATGTGGAGCATTTTTATACCAGATTATTCGATTCAAAAGTAAATATAATTAAAGTCGATTTACATTACTTTCTGCATAAAATAAACACTCGTAGATGTAACCCTATACGTGTCCAGCATTTATAACAAAAGAAAGTTACTACATTCACATTATCTGGTTAAACATGACAATAAATATCTAGAATTAACAAGCTTAAAAAATTAAAATGACATTTTGTACTAAAAATATTTTAAATGTGTCTAATATATTGTGGAATGAATAATTTTTGCAGAACAGTTAATTATTTTAATCTAGATAAGTTTCTTTTCAAATT